AACATGACAGCAAATGTACAAAACCTTGTACATTTGCTGTCATGTTAAACTTATATTAAAGTTTTTCTTCATTACCCATTTAAGCCGTCTCCAGCCATTAAAGGTTTAAGATGTTTATAATGATGTTGTTTTTGTTTTTTGTTTCAGTTTTATGAACTTAACCACTGACGCTCACGTTTTTATTCTTTTATTTACGTCTTACGATTGAAGATGTAGTGGTAGTGCTGCTAATGAACTCTTCTTCTGGTTAACAGCTGGTTTTCTTTACTTAATAGCAAGAGATTCTGGCATTGTAAGGTGAGATTATTCTTGGGAATGGAGAATGACGCGGACAAAACTGTAAATAAGCATAAAACCACATTCGTTTAGATAGCGGTTGGTAGTACTAATGGTGTTGTAGATTTCAGCTCTTTAACCAGAAGATGAGCGCACGACCACCAGGTCTTCAATTGTGAAAATGTAAAGAAAAGAACAGAACATGAACTTCGATCGTAGAACATGTAATGGTCTAAATACTTTTATGAACTTGATATGTAAATACTTATGTGGGAATGGATTGTGTAATATGCTGTACTTGGCAGAAGTAACATATATATATTTGAAGAGTAATTAATACTAATATTATCAATTAATTCTTACTAAATGCACTCACTATGTTAACAGTTTATTGAATCTTAGGTTAGTTGATGTACAAAACACATAATCAGTAGCTTTCAAATAGGGGTCAGCATTATATTATCTGAAAGTTTAGTTAGGGGCCGTATAATGAATAGATCACCATCCCTGTTCCCATAGCAACCGGTTGTCAAGGGGGACAAACTGGAGAACATTATCAGGGATAGAAAGAAATTGTCTGTACGCAAGTTGATTGGTTCCTTGATGTTGAGAATTCACATGATTGAACCAAACGTGGTGATTGGTTGGCTTGGTTACGAGAAAGAAAATTGGTGTTAAGGGTAGTTCAAGTCACGTGATATTTCGGCGCCATCTTGGTGTAGTGCTATCTCATACTACGTAGCTGGAGTTCCCGCCGGTGTTGTAATAGAAGGATCGAAGATTTCCGTTTTTGTTCATTAGAAGTGGAAAACACAGTTTTTGTATTGGTATGGCTTAGCTGTTTTATTCAAACTTTTTCCTTCTTTTAATTTTTCGTTTACAGTATTTGAATATCGCGCTCAATTCAAAATGTTCTCGAATCTGAAGGAATGCTTGTGCTTTGTAATTGTAGGGTCAATTCGGGTAGGCTTAACTCGGACACTTTCGCTATTCTGTATGATACACGTATAATTAAAATATTGGCTAGTTTTAAGCTTCTCTATTTGTTGATTTTCGATTTTTAAAAATTTGTTTATGTATGTATATATTCAGTTCATTTCACAAGAACTTTCATTGTTTTATTTTTTGTACTTTGACACTAAATTAATTTACACTGAACGTTATAAGCTTTTAAAGATTTATTGTTTAATAAGGAGTTACCAAACTTTTATGAAATATGTATTTTTTTTTTTTTACATATAAAGAAAAATCGTTTGAATTATAGAGAAAAGTGCTCATAAATATTGTATTGGGTTAATCAAAACTAAATAAAGGGTGTATATTATGTAAGAGAAAGGAACATAAAATGTTGTCTGTAGTGTAATTTAAAACTCGTGCAGTTTTTACATTGGTACTGAAGTGTGAAAATAATAGGATTTCAAACATGCATTTGATGCTTGAGTTTGTGAAGAAAGCAAAATCATTTATCTTTGCTTCCAGTGTAATAAAACACAAGACCTACTTTCAGTGATTCAGGAGAGCAGCCAATCGAGCTCCTGGGCCCTCCTTGGAGAGTGGAGAGAAATTTTAAAATTTGTTCAGTAGATGATAAAGTTGAATATCAGAGATGGTTCTCTTTTAAGTAAACATATTTTATTACTAAATGCTCAATTATCTTTATTAATTTAAGACTAAACATTATGGCATTATTTTCATATTGTTATAACTGTCAATGTCAAATGAGACTGCAGTTATGAATGTTGAAGTCAATATTTAAAGTATAATGATTTATCAAGAAGAAAGTTTATAAAACCCACAGAAAGTTCGAGACCTTTTAAAGTTTTATTGATAATACTTGCATTGAATAAGTTATTAGTAACTTGTGACATACATGTTTGGTTTAGTACGTTGTAATGAAATGCAAACTGTAGATGTATCCATTTAAATTGTAAGAATCAGATTAGTGTTCAGTTTTAGTTTCTGAACTCAGTGAGCTCTGTGAATATCTAGACTTGGAATCACTTGTTACTAATTAAGTATAATTAAAACACGTTATAACATAGCTTGCACTGTACTTTCATTACTCACGATTTCTCTAGACTTATGTCATCTCTAATTTTGGTGGCCTTACGGCCAATACAGTAGTTTAATTTAAATGATAAAAATGTGCTTAAATGCACAGACGTCATTTTTCCATCACAACTATGTCACAATCCCAGATTCTTACATTTTTAGTTGCTTCTCTGGGTTTATTTTGGTTGGTTGCTCTGGAGATCTTGTCCTAAGTCATGCACTATGGGAAACTGAAGTTGTTTTGTAATGTGGATGTTTTGAATACTTACAGGTTTATCAACATAAATATTCAAAGAAAAATGTGGAAAACATGAATAAGTGTTTTTAATAGCTGCAGCGTGATCAGTGACCAAAATAAGGAGTATGAAGGGATGGGAGCATGATCTTGCTTCTCAAATCTGAATCACTATACTTTTAAACTATTTTAATTCAATATTTTGCCTTACATAAGTTTTTAATTAATTTCTGGGTCATTTTTCTATTACTTTATAAACATGCAATTTAAAGTCATGTCTATTTCTGTTCATCTGTCATCACAATCCCCATTGTAGTGTTATTTATGTTTATCCACCATCACAAACCCCATTGTAGTGTTATTTATGTTTATCCACCATCACAAACCCCATTGTAGTGTTATTTATGTTTATCCACCATCACAATCTCCATTGTAGTGTTATTTATGTTTATCCACCATCACAATCTCCATTGTAGTGTTATTTATGTTTATCCACCATCACAATCCCCATTGTAGTGTTATTTGTATTTATCCACCATCACAAACCCCATTGTAGTGTTATTTATGTTCATCCACCATCACAAACCCCATTGTAGTGTTATTTATGTTTATCCACCATCACAATCTCCATTGTAGTGTTATTTATGTTCATCCACCATCACAAACCCCATTGTAGTGTTATTTATGTTTATCCACCATCACAATCCCCATTGTAGTGTTATTTATGTTTATCCACCATCACAATCTCCATTGTAGTGTTATTTATGTTTATCC